TGCCTCTAACAAATTCAGTCTTATTTGTTGGTTTTGTTTTTGTTTTTTTTAAAGAATTTTGGCTGTTTGCTTTTTCTTTTTTATTTTATGTTGTTTGATCTGCAGTAACTATATGGATATGTGCTTGGACCTGCTAAATATTTTAATTTTGCATATTTGGCTGCTTGAATTTTAAGTAATTTCTTTGGACAACGCAAATTTTAAGAGCTTGAGAAGCTGTAAGTGAAATATCAAGTAACAAGTTTGTAACTAGTTTATAAATGTGTATTTATTACCTATTATATATTTTAAGGTTTTATATTTTACCTGGATTAAATTAAAAATTCAGTTTCTCAGTTGCACAGGCCACATTTCAGGTGCTGTTTTCAGGCCGTATGTGGCTAGTGGTTACCATTGCGGACAGCACAGGTAAAAGATGTTTTTCATCACCAATAGTTCTGTTGGACAGGGCTGTTTTAAATTGCGTACACAGTTAATTGTAAGGTCATTTTTGATACCAGTTATTTTATCCAGAAGGTAAAGCGTGTGACCAGTCTTGAGAATACTTCCTCCAAATATGTAGTTTGAGTATTTAAAACTTAGTTGTTTGAAACAGTTCAGTTGCTTTGGTATTTATGCTACTTTAAAGTGAAATTGTTTCTTGTGGCAGAATTCATGAGGTAGGAAAATGCCAAGGACTTAGTCTAAATTTGAATCCTGACCCCAGGACTTACTAGTTTAGTAACTTCTGGTAAGTTACTATACTTCTTTGAGCCTCAGTTTCCTTATGTGTAACAATGGTTACTTCATCAGATTAACATGTCACTTAAATATTTCTAAAAGCACATTTAAAAGTGCATGTTTTTAATCCTGTAAAAATAGGGAATCAAGTGAAAACATAAATTAATTAGGCAGTGTCCTTTGCTTGGGGAGTTGTTCCCAGCCTGGCAGTTAGAATAGGGTGCCTAGAAATGACTAAGTCAGGAAGAAGTTCCTGGTCTTCATGGAGTTATTTGATGACACTGTGTAAATTTGAAACAAGTAGAATACCAAGATGGAGAGAAAAAGAAATAGGAAGTTGACTGACTTTGTTTTTGGAGAGGTTCGCGAAGTACTATCTGATGATAAAAACGAATATTTTGTATAGCGTTTTTATAACTTACAAGGTTCTGTCACACAATTCTTTAAAATTTTATCTCTAATATTTTGAGTACCTTTAACAGACTAATATTAAAGAAGAATAAAAGGAAACTCAAGGTTGAACATTTTTCAGGTTACGTAGCTAATATTGAGAATGGAAAACCATATTAAGTTTTCAACTTTAAATCTTAGGCTCTTTGTATTTCAACATGCTATTCTTTGATAGCAGTAGCATTTGTGAACCAGGCATATATTTCAGAATCTCCAGGGATTGGACTCAGGTACATAATAATTTTTGGTATATGTTGAAAATGTACCCTTTGAAGTGATTCGAGTGCCCACTTCTGGTTAAAAATCATTGCTCTTTTCCAGTCTTTTAACTTTTCTTTTTCTGTAATCAGTACATCCAAATTAATGCATTGATAACACGAGTAAGATAAGGCATTAAATTGATAAGCAATGTGCTGAACTGTTACTACTCTAGATGTTGAGCTATGAGGAACAACACTTTTTTTTTCTTGAGGTGGAGTCTCATTCTCTCTCCCAGGCTGGAATGCAGTGGTGCAATCTTGGCTCACTGCAACCTCCAACTCCTGGGTTTAAGCGATTCTCCTGCCTCAGCCTCCCAAGTAACTTGAATCACAGGCATCTACTACCATGCCTGGCTAATTTTTTTTGGTAGAAACAGGGTTTTACCATGTTGGCCAGGCTGGTCTTGAACTCCTGACCTCAAGTGAACACGTTTAGTTCCCTATTTACAATCACATGTGTTTCCATTGATCATTGCTGGTGGAGGAGGAATCCAGACTAGCCAGCTATGGTAGTTAAATCTGTGAGTGTTCCCTTCTCTGCTTCTTTAATACGAGTTTTAGCTAGTTAGTAGTCTCCCCCAAGATATTCCAGTCCCGAATGTTGACTCCTTAGTCCCTGTGTGTGATATCTTCATGAATGTTTTCAACTGATTGGCTAAAGATTTTTAATCTTTTCCCAGCTGTCTTGAAGATGCTTTAGTATCATGGGTTTAGTGGTATTTCCAGGTCCTGTTTAACTATGAATGTATCACATTACTAACAACTCTTTCGCAATTGTGAAACCTAGTTACTTATGTGAAGGCAAAGCTGAAAACTTTCCTTTGAATGAAAGCGTCATTATAGGGGTGGGAGAGGGGACTACTTTAGCAAACCCCCAGGTAGGTGGAAATTAATCATATTGTACATTGAATTTTCAAAATGGAAAATGTTTTTAAACATACTAAGACACATTCTATTGGAAATAAGACTTTACAATGTGAAAAGTTAAGCATTTACTATTTGAAGCTGTAATCATGAGGTTTTGAAGTCAGAATGAACTATCTTCTAACTCAGAGTTGCTCATCAAAATGCAAAATCAGTGGCTACAGTGAGTTAAGATTAGCTTTTAATTTTCAGAGCAGAGATTATTTCACTAGAAGCTGTTTTTAGTGGATATTAGGCTGCTTCTGCACTGAAATCAGTGTGTTTGGAATGTTTTTACAGGTATACTTTTCTTGAACAGAAAATACAATTGTGAAGTACAGTTCTGATTATTTTGTATTACTAGGGTTTAAGGGAGCTTATTTTTAAAATGACTTCAACCCAGCATTCTGAATTACACTAAAAAGATTGTTTGAACTTAGAACCTGCAAAGCATTTAAGGGATAACTCTTGCCCCTGTCAATTTTAAAATAGCATTGTGTTCTTAAAATATATATCATTCTGTTAATTATAGGCAGGTTGGATTTGTCTTTGTTGTACTATAAATTTTCTTATAAATAGGATAAAATTTAGACCTTTTAAAATACTCTCATCTCAAAGACTTTGAAGAGCACTGAAAACGAGATGCATCTGAAACCGATGTTGCATCATAGTTTAAGGGAACTATTTTTTTTTTACTTGGTGATATATAAAGCTAACGGTGCATATTATGACCATTGATGTTTTAGGTTTGATAAAAAGTAGTGGTTGACTTTTTGAAGTTGGCTTTGAACTTACATAATTATTTGATAAGACGGTATATTTTTGTGGTGAAAAAATATGTCAGTGGTGAGAATATACTATATTATTTGGAATTACAGACCTTTACCAAGTTGTTTTAGTGTTTCCTTTAGATCCTTTTGTTTTTGTTCTCACTGCTATCAGTTAGATGCTGTACATTATACTTGTTCCTTATCTGAATCTCCTATTGAAAGATACCAGAACAATAAGAGAAAAATGGAGATCAAGAGAACAAGAAAAGGCATGGGATGCAGGATGGGGTGTGAGTAGTGGGTAGGATCTCTAGGGCCAAGAGAAGAAGAATGGGGAAAGCGAGTACACTTCAGGGAAGTGGTAATAACATTTTCCATTTCCAGCTTTGCTTGTCCAGAAGTCTTTTACCTGCTTAAGTTTCTGATTGTAATATATTAGCTTGTGAGCTGTCCAGTAGTTAGCTGAAATCACTCCTAACATATTCCGTCCATTCAGCTGATATAAACCCTTTTTGCTGAGGACTTGCTTATTCTGCAGAAGGTGCCCTGTTACCTCCTCCAGCCTTCTGAGTAAATCATCTGCTGGTATCTTCTCTTGTGTAGACCAAATAGAGTCTCTGTTCCCTCATAATGTGCAGCCTCAAAATGAATAATTTAAGGGAAGAACCACTTCTTAGAGAATGAATTTTTCTGTGTACTATTAGGGATATGTACACAATTGAATTAATGGTTGATTTTTATAGGAGGAATGGGCATACCAAACAAATACTTAACTTTAGAATACTTCCCTGCCTTTCTCTTTCTTTCAGAATTTAGGTAGAGATTGATGTAGTCTTTCCCATTTTGCATATTTGACTTTTTTATTTCAAAAAGCAGTAATTTGTTTATTTCTAGTGTAAATTCATATTGCATGTTCCTGCTTTAGCTTTCCATTGTCTAAAAGAAGAACATATACTTTGGAGAAGTTTATTCACGTTCTTCAGTAATGGCATGTTTCAGTCTGCATTAAAAAAAGAGTCACAAAATAAATCTGACTTACATTCTCTATTTTAGGCAAATTGCTTTTAAAAGTTAACATTTAACATTAGAATGCTATTTAAATTTTCACTATTAAACATGGATTGAGAGAACCTTTTTCATTTTTTTCAAAGGGAATATTTGCATTATAAAGAGATTTACCCTTGGAGATTTTAAGCACACCATAGAGGTTTTTTTGCTTTTGTTTTTGTTTTGTTTTTCTTAATACCCTGCAGATCCTTTTGGAAGCCAGTTCGTTTGATACCTGGAGTAGGCTTGGCATTGTCATGGAAAAAGATTATGAAGAATTGCTGCTTTCAATTCTGAAATCCTCAAATTTCCAAAAGTCTCTTTCAGAATTTACAGAAAAGTTTTAATATTCCTTTGCATTTTCTTGAGTTAAGCAACTTTTAAAACTCCCACATTCAGGGTGATCTATTGAACTTAACCAATTTTATTAGAATTTTAAAAAATAAAATAGTATTTTGTTTTCATGTCTTTTCACCACATTACACTGTAAAATTCTTTGAACTAGCTTGGGCAAACTACAGGAAAAGAAATTCTGTGGTACAAATAACTAGCTTACTGATAAAGTTGTAGAGCAAAATCTATGCAAGTTGGGTGCTTCTGTACTATCTTTGCTTACTGTAATGCTTCAATAAGATACAAATGAAAACTCAAGATACCAGAAGTAAAGGTAAACATTTTTCAGTCATGTATGAATAGTATTTCAAATACGGTGCTGAGTTTTATGTATTTCTGATGAAAAGATAAGCCAAGTAAGGTAGAATCACAACTCTTTATCAGTCAGCATTCACAAAATTCTTTTTTCAATTTGATGGTAATTATATTGTCCTGAATTCATTTTCTCTTTCTTCAGAGGATGTACTGAGTAAAGATGCTGGGGAATGTGCAATATGCCTTGAAGAACTGCAGCAGGGAGATACTATAGCAAGACTGCCTTGTCTATGCATATATCATAAAGGGTAAGTTCACCAAATTAGTATTAGAGTAAAAGCTTATTCTCACAGTTTCAAACATTATAATTAGGACTGAAAAGGAAACTTCATTGAAACCACCCCTTCCCCGCCCCACAAACTCTTCTTAAAACTTAATTACCTTTTTTCTCTACTTGAACTAAGACTTGAACCCACATCTGTTAGAATTCAAAAGTCTGCTATTTTTAAAGCATTTGCTATGACCTAGCTGTTGTTCATAACTTCTTAAATAGGTTATCTCATGTAAGCCTTGTCATCATTGCATTTTACAATTGAGGAAATAAGCTAATGGACAGTATGGAATTTCCCCAAGATTACAAGGCTAGTAAATGGCAGAACTGAGACTCTGGTAGACTTGAAATCTGCTTGACTCCAAAACCTGTCTGGTTTCTTATATGGTCTTCTTGCTTTTAGAGTGATAATAGGAAAAACTGGGGATTAAAAAAAAAATTTAAGGTAACCACAAAAAGAAAACTGTGACTTTCAAACTGATGAAAGTACATTGCTTAATACTTAAAGGTGGGGTGGGAAATAACTTAGAGAAAACAGTAAATAAGACTAAATAGACAAAAATGTATCCAGATATATTAGTTATAATAAATGTACATAGAACAAACTCACCAGTTGAAAACCTGATTGAAAGGTTAGGATATGTAGTTGATAAAAAACATATTTAAACATAAGGATACATAAAATTTGAAAATAAAAGGATAGAAAACTACATCTAGGCAAATATTAACTAAAAGAAAATTTGCAAAGCTAAACTATTACACAAAGCAAACTGTATAGCAAAAAGCATTATTATGGATAGAATTACTTTGGAATGACAAAAAGTATATGACATTCCATTTTTATGTATTTAATAACATCTCAAAATAAAAGATTTATGAAACCCTCAGACGAAATTGACAAATTTATCATCATAATGAGACATTTCAGTACATCTTTTATTGAGTCAAGTCGCATACACAAAAAATGAATCAAGACCTAGAAAAATGGAGCAATGCAGTTAACAAGTTTGATCTAATTGATGTGAGTATATATTTGTATCTGTGCCCATAAATTAGAGAATACATATTTTTCAACCACACATGAAGTGTTACAGAAATTGATCATGTCCTAGGCCATAAGCGAATCACAGCAAAATACCAAGAATTGGTACCATATAGGATGCTGTACACTGACTGACTGCTATTAGATGTCACTAATAAAAAGATAAATAATCCTCATATATACTTTTGAGTAACTTGTGGATCAAAGAAAAAATCATCATGGAATACAGGAAATACTCAGAACTGAAAAACTGATGTTTTTGACAAGTACCTAGAGTGATCCTCAGAAGGTTTATGTTACAGTAGAAAGGAAGTCTGAAAACCCAATAAGTCAAGTTTCTTGCTTAAGAAATTAGAAAAGTAACAGCAGAATAAACACAAATAAAATAGAAGAAAATAATGAAGACCAGAGAAGAAAATAAGTTTTAAAATGACACACTAGAGAACCACAAAGCTATCAGTTGGTTCAGAACAGGATTGCCTCTAGAGGAAAAAAATGAGGAATGTGAATTCATAGTAGAAATTAAAAATAATGAGAAAAAGTAGGCCTATAGAGGCAATGCGACAATGAGTTCTATCAGATATCCAAAGAACACCAAAGAAAGTAGCAAGATGATGGAAGGTTCTCCCGTTTACCTTGTGAGAAAAGTATGAACTTGATACCAAACTCAGATAAGGACAGTACAGGAAAGAAAATTAGAAAGTACTCACATTTGTGAACATAGATCTAAAAATCCAAAAACATATCAGTAAACCCAGCTCAACAATATGTATCAAAAAGTATGTATCTAAAATAATGCCTCATGACCAAGTTGAATTTACGCTAGGAATGCAAAGATACTGTAAGATAGAAAATGTATAGATGTAATTTACTACATTAACAAAGGAAAAAAACATTAACTCAGTAAATGTGAGAAAGCCTTCAGTAGAATTCTATACTTGCATATTAATGATTTAAAAATAAAAGCTAAGAATACATATTAGATAAATTATTAAAATTTGTAAGAGTTCAGGGTTGCCAAATATGAGATCAACCTATGGAAATAAGTTGCAATCATATTGCAGTAAGAAAAAAGGAAATACAACTTAAAAAATTATAAATGTCAACAGAGACTAAAATGACTATAAGGCATATTAGGATTAATTCTATAAAAGATATGTAAGACTTTCCTTTAGATAAAATTTTAAAACTTTATTGAAAGATATAGGCAATCTGAAATAAATGTGGACATGTATCATATTGCGGATAGGAAGACTCAGTGTCATAATGATGTCCTTTTGCCTCAGATTGACCTATATAGTTAATGCTACCTTAGTAAAATCTCAACTAGTTTGTTTCTGAAACTACATGGGGACCAACAAGTGAAGGGCCGAGAACGGTTAAGACACTCATGAAGAAGAACACCATGCTGATAAGGCTTGTCCTGTACAGATCTATTATAAGACCATATTAAGACGGTATGGAAATGGCAAAGGTGAGCCAATGGAATAGAATGGAGTCCATAAACACTTGTGCCTATCTGGAGAGACCGCATAGCATGGGAGTTAAGAGCATGGACTTTGAAGTCAAGACACTCAGCATTTGAATCCCAGCTCCTTCACTAATTCTCTATGTGATCTTGGTCAAGTTAGTTTTTCTCTCTCTCAGTTCATAAGATGAGGACAGTAGAAACAACTTCATAGAGTTATAAGGGTATAAAGGAGTTAAGTTTTGGAAAGTGTTGGCACATACATAATAGATGCTATATAAATGTTTGTTGAATAAATGAGAAAAAATTGATTTGCCAGAGATGGAATTACAGTACAAGAGAGAAAGAATGAACTATTCAATAAATGGTGCTGGGATCAATTGGTTATTGATATGGAAAAACAGTTCAGTCCTTATCTTGCATTTGACATAAACGTCAATTCCAGGTTGACTAAATGCCTGCCTCTGAGAACCAAAATGTAAAGTGAGGAGGAAAGAAATTAGTGGAAATGTTTTTGACCTCTTGATAGGAATTATTTTTTGTCTAGGATACACCTGCCCCCAAGAAGTAATTTCAAGATTGATAAATTTGGCTATATTAAAATTTAAAACTTACTTGTATCATGACACTGCAAAAAAGTGAAAAAACTGGGCCTCAGACTAGGATTGTTTTTCAGCACACATAATAAGAGAGGTTTGGTATTGGAAATAGTGATCTTCTTCTATGACTTTCTGCAATGCAGTGAACTCATTGCAGTTAGTAAATGGGAGAGTGAAGACAGTATAGTAACATGATCTTACTGGGTCTACCTAAGATTTTCCAGCACATTAATGTGCTTCATCAGATAACAGCAGATGAAAGCATATATGCTAACACAGTGAGCTGTGTAAGAATACAGTGTATCCATTTTCCCCATGTTCTTATTCTTAGTTTAATTAGACCATGGACTTTGTTGTGGCATCCTTATTTCACAGTTCTCACATTTTGTGCATTAGCTTTTTTCTTCATTTCTCAGCAGTCTCAATTCTACCTTAATCCTCTTTCTGTAAAGCTAACTTCACCATTAAAAATATGTATTTTTAGTAGTGTTTTATTGATTAGGAATGAGCATGTCTTTGTTCTGGTTATAAAATTGTGTTATTTGAGTAGTCTGCCTTGAACCCGAATTTTCTCCCAAGCCCTGTTACTTTTAGCTTTCAATTTTGTGGAAAACGGTGTTGATCAAAAACCTGTATATTATAACAGAAATACCTGGATGATAGCTTCTTAGAAAACTATCAGTCAATTCAGAAAAAAAAGGATCCTCAGTAGGCCAATAAATATAAACAGATGAATTTGGTAGATAACCCTGGATGCAATACATGTGTACTGCACATAGTAGATAAAGCTGTGTGCAGTACATATACTACAACTCAGTAATTCCACCCCTGCATATATGCCCTAGAGAAACTCTTGATATTTTGCTCTCAGACAGTGCCACTATTCAAACTGCAGGTCCAGAAGGCATCAAGGAGCTTCTCTGCTAGTTAAGTCAACACTATGCTGCTTTTATTGAGAAAGTCTTGCTGTGATTTTTTTTTTTTTTAAGTTATTTGAAACAGTGTGATTAGTGAGGAAATTAACTTCTATTTGGGCGTAAACTCCTTAACCTCAAAGAATGTTCATAGCATCATTGAAAATATCCATCAGCAAAAGAATGTATATATAAATTATATATATTAATATAATGTAATGCTGTACACAGTGAAAATGTAAAAACAGGCTGGGCACGGTGTCTCATGCTGTAATCCCAGCACTTTGGGAGGCCAAGGCAGGTGGATCACCTGAGGTCAGGAGTTCAAGACCAGCCTGACCAACATGGAGAAACTCTGTCTCTACTAAAAAAAAAAAAAACCAAAAAAACAGAAATTAGCTTGGTGTGGTTGCAAGCGCCTGTAATCCCAGCTACTTGGGAGGCTGAGATAGGAGAGTCACTTGAACTGAGGAGGCAGAGTTTGCAGTAAGCCGAGATGGCACCACTGCACTCCAGCCTGGGTGACGGAACAAGACTCCGTTTCAAAAAAACAAACAAAAAACCAAAAATGTAAAAACAAGAGATTAGTAATTGTACATCTCAAATTGAGCAAAAAAAAGCAAGTTAAAAAAGCATAATGGTGTTTTATGGTAGAATTTATATAAAATTTTAAACATGGAGGCAGTACTGCATGTTGTTTTAGAATATACGCATACATAGTTATATACAGTAAGAAGATGCCTAAGAATGAAAAGTACCAAATTGAGGATAGTGCTTTCCTACTGGGGCTGAGAGAAGGGAATATAGTAATGTAAATAACAAATGAATATAGCTTAGAATGGAACATATATGGATTGATAGAAGTTTATTAGAAGAGGACCTGGGGTTTTAAATGATTACTTTCTCTTGATGAACCAACCTCATGGTTGTAAAATAAGGAGTACTCATGTTAGATTGCAGATAGATGCGAAATAACACATCTGGAGTATTTTGTTTGATTATCAGAATTTCATTTTAAGAGGTTTTCTGGCAGTGGAACTTCCAGTGCCAAGTGGTAGAGAGCAGGCTGAAAACAATGTTTCAAGCCAAACTGGGCATATATTTAGAGAGCAAACATCTTCACGGCAACTGAAATTTAGTTATTTGAAAGAACCTGTTGATGTGGTATTCTACCTTTCTTCTTTTTAATGTAATCCATCACTTTTACCTACGAAGCCAACGTATTTGGATATGAGGATGATAAATGTGGATTTTGCCCTTCAGCATATTAACCAAGCCTTGTAGTTTTGTGGCATATGCAAATTTGAAATATGTCACCAGTGAAGATGTTGAACAGGTTGAATCCTGCTTGGATAACTTGCTAGCTGTTGGTCAAGTAACAGCTAGTTACCAGACCTTGATTTTTGTCATCTATCATGGTACTTTGAAATAGAACTTTCTACCACGATAGAAGTGTTCTGTATCTGTGCTGTCCACTAGGGTAGTCATGAGCCTTGTTGCTGTTGAACACTTGAAATGTGGCTAGTATATACACTGCAGGGGAAAAAGAAACAAAAGGAAAAAAAAAGAAATGTGGCTAGTGTGACTAAGGAACCGGATTTTTTCTTTTTTTTAATCCTTTTTTTAAAAAAATAGTACTTTAGGTTCTGGGGTACATGTGCAGATGATGCAGGATTGTTGCATAGCTACATACATGGCAAGATGGTTTGCTGCCTTCCTCCCCCTGTCACCTGTATCTGGCATTTCTTGCCATGTTATCCCTCCCCACCCACTGTTATCCCTCCCCTGGTTCCCCCCTCTTTTATTTAATCTTAAGTAACCAGTGTGTGGCTCTTGTCTACTCTATTGGACAGTGCCGATCTACAATGATGATGATCATATACACCCGAATATTTAACTTCTAATAAAATAAGATCATGAAATACTTCACAAATGTAAATGAATTATGATATATTTGTGTATGTATATGTATTACACAGTGGGATAGAATTTAAATATTCAATAATCACATATAAATATAGCTTTAAAATGTGAAATATTGGCAAGGATTAAAATTTAAAAGCTATTTTTTATTACATTTATAGGTGACATGAACAGGTTGATAATGTTCATAAATGAATAATTGTTTTGAAAAGATAAATTACCCAAATTTGTCATTCAGTTTTGATATTGGTCAAGTGATAGTTCTTCATATTGTCTTTTGGGAGTAGTTCTCTTTGAATTTTGAAGTGCTTTATAGCATAATTTTGCAAAGGTTTTTTTTTCTTAATGATTAGAATAATCAAAATATAAACATTCTTAACCGTTATTTATGTATGCCAAATAAAATTTAAAATACTGATTTTTTCCTGCAAAAACATATATTAAAGTCAAGTAAGTATTTCATGATATAAATAATTAATAAAGTATCTCAATTTTTCTGGTTTTGTTCCTTTCTAGCTGCATAGATGAATGGTTTGAAGTAAATAGATCTTGTCCTGAGCACCCTTCAGATTAAACATCAACTTCCTGTTTTGTAGGTAATTTCTTTTTGTAATTATTTTTTAAAGTGTTAACCACATTACACATTCTAAACCATTTTTATTTATTAATTTACTCATTGAGGTGCATGAGTGAGTGTATGTATGATTCAGACACTTAGGCTACTGCATAGAAAAAACTTACATTAAAAATATTGTATAATTCTAATTGTTGGTTGAGTGGGTTGGCTCATGCCTGTAATCCCAGCATTTTGGGAGGCCTAAGGCAGGTGGACCACTTCAGGCCAAAAGTTCAAGACCATCCTGGCCAAATAAAAACTCTGTCTCTACTAAAAATACAAAAATTAGCCAGGCATGGTGGTGCACACTTATAATCCCAGCTACTCAAGCAGCTGAGGCACAAGAATCACTTGAACCCAGGAAGTGGAGGTTGCAGTGAGCTGAGATCATGTCAGTGCACTCCAGCCTGGGTGACAAAGCGAGATTCTCTCAAAAATAAACCAAAAAATAATTCCTATCATTTAGTATTATTATGTACCAGTTGTTGTTGTAAGCATTTTACACCTATTAGTAACTCATCTAATTGTTAGAATAACCCTTTTGAGCTCAGTACCATTACCATTTGTATTACACAGATGAAGAAATTAAGTAGAGAGAGGCCGAGAAACTTGATTTTTCAAGGTCATATAACTAGTTTGTTGGTGAGGATGAAATTTGAACCAAGGTATTCTGGTTCCAAAGACTGTTCTTAGTAATTTTGCTCTTTTTAGGTAGGAACATTTTCTTCAAAAAGTTGCATCATAAATTTATTCTATTTAACCATTTACTTTTGATTTTTAGCATGTAATAAAGTGCCTGTCTATGTAGTAGGCAGAAAATAAAGTTGTATTTTAAAACTGAAAAAAGAACTAGTCTTGTTCTGCTGATTTAAGTTTTTCATGGTTCTGCATTATCTGAAAATGCAGATTGATAACCTCAATTGGATATTTTCATAAGGCCTTTTTTTCATATTTCATGAAGTACATTAAATTGGTATCACTTATCTTTGAAAAAATAAAGGTTAGCTTAATTCCTGTCTTCATATATATGAAAAGCTGTTATGAGAAGAATTGCAGAGATGATGTAAAGCATTGGATTGTTATAATAAGACAGAGCATTTTAGCTAGTCCTGGAATTGTTTCAGGAGTTAGAGTCTCTTTGTTCAGGGACTTATGACAGTAACAGCAAGCTTTTCTGGGAGGCTGAGATTGTTGACAGGGAACTAGACCAGATGATATCCTGAAGTCCAGTCCTGTGCTGGTCCCCCCATTTCCTTTTATTTCATTAACTTTCCTTAATTTTGAGAATAAAAGTATTGAGGTAATAAACACAGTCAAGGAATTCTGTTGCTGTATTGGTGGAAGATGATTTAAGAGTAGCAAATCAGAATATTGACCAAGAAGATCTGAATAATAGCAGCAATAGCACCTGAAATGAGAACTGCAGGTGAGTGTTATAAGACTAGGCATGTGTGTGTGAAATGTAAAAGCCTTGGTAAACTCTGGAGTACTAAAAGACTATCAGATTTTTAACCTTTACTGTAAATCATGCCTTGACACATTTAAAATATGAATTGAGGCTGATTGTGGCTCACACCTGTAATCCCAGGACTTTAGGCAGCTGAGGTGAGAGGATTGCTTGAGACCAGGAGTTTGAGGCTGCAGTAAGGTATGAATACACCAGTGCACTCCTGCCTGGGTGATTGAGCAAATCCCTGTCTAAATAAATAAATAAATAAATAAATAAATAAATAAATAAATAAAATGTGAATGGAAGTAAGAATGCTGGGTAAGAGTAGTATAGTGGTGGAGTGGTATTTTTAATCTATGTGCTCATATGTTTTTATTTCACTGTAGAAAAGGTTTGGAATGCCTTCATTGTCATCTTATATTTGAGACAATAAAATGAAACTGTGGCTAAAATTATAGAAGCATTTTAAGAGAAGTACTGAAAACTGATGCTAAGAAAATGAGATTTTTTATCTTAGTATTTTACATGCCAAAGTGATAAATCTAAATCCTTTACCTGTAGGTAAAATTTGTCTTTTTAGAGTCTTTCTTAGTGTATTTTGGGCTACTATAACAAAATACCTTAGATGAGTAATTTATACGTGGCAGAAATTTGATGCTCACAGTTCTGGAAGCTGGGAGGTCTAAGATCAAGGTGCCAGCCAGTAGGCTTGGTGTCTAATGAGGGCTCATTCCTCATTTACGGCACCTTCTTTGTGTCCTTACAGGGTGGGACAACAGACTCCCTCAGGCTTCTGCAAACATGCTAACCACATTCATGAGCTAATCACCCAATCATGTCCCAAAGGCCCTACCTCTTAATACTATAGCACTACAGATGAGGTTTCAACATAGCGATTTGGGGAGTACACCAACATTCAGACCACAGAGCTGATAAACTTTGTTTTGTAAGGTGGAATTATATGGTATAAATTTTTTTTTCTCTCATCACCTAAATTTTTCCTTAGTGTCACAGTGAGCTTATGGGATATGTGGAGCATACTTCTCATCTCACAGCTGAAATGCATATGTCTGTTGATCTTCAGCAGCGCTCCCATTTTCTTAGGTTATCGGTGTTACATTTGCTTATTTGTTTGTTTTCCTATATAGAACCTGAGTTTGAAACCAGCCTACTACATGGGGCAGGATGAACTGTTAGGTTATCTACAGAAATCTCAACCAGCGGAGTCTGCTGCTGTGGGTCTTGAAGAGTTATTTTTAAGAGTTTGTAGACATGGAGTGTCTTTACTCTTGTACATATTTGCTTCTGTCCTGACTTTTCTTATTTATCAAGCAATAAATTTTTATATGCCTTTTAATTGTCCTAGATTAAAGGTATATGGGTTTGAGGAGGATTCAGCGTTGTTAAAACATTATTTAAGGTGCTGCGTAGCCACAAAGCTCAACGTTTCTGATATTCTTCAGCATAAGAATTTAATAACCCAAAATAGAGAGACATGAATATTTTGGTCTTGATTTGTTAGAAAATTGCTGTACTTATTTTGGGGTTTTTAGAACTCCACATGTGTACATTTTTTACTTTGCTGTAGTTCTTATTCTGAAAGGGGGATGACGTCGTTATGTGTTTTTTATGACTAAGCTATAATTGATCCTCCTGTGTCTTAATCTATTCTCCTCCAGATCACTGATTTCATGAGTTTTCAGTATAGTACGGGTATCAAAACTTAAAGTAACTACAGCAGTGTTCATGGGGAAATCTATTTTTACACAGGTTTTCTTGTCTTTACAAGATGCTTGAAAAACCAAGAGGATATGAAGATACTGTCTCTGGAGAAACAAAAACGCAGGCATACTCAGCCAGAAATCTGAGTTTTGTGAGGACTTGGTAATAACAGATGGACAATCGTACTGGGGAAAGACACAAATCCCGCTCAAGAGAGGACAGTGACCACAGAACTCAGTGTACCAAACATGCATATAAAGGACACACAGGGATTTTGAAAATGCTGCACATCCCTTAATAGTCATCTATGTAGGTAATACTGATAAACATTTTGTATTCAGACGCCAAAGTTAACTGATTTAAAAGTTGATTTACTTTTTATTAAGTTCTCCAGAGCTGCACAACTAGTTATGTTTTGATTTGTTTTATTGTTTAGTTTGGGATCTCTTTGTTTTCCCCAACATAATGTTTCTGCATTCATCTGTTCTTAAATTGCAAAACATATAATTTACTTCTTATAAATTAAAGTCTTAAATGTGAAACCAAGAAATTTAATCAAGCAGTAAAAACATTCTCTGAATGTAGACCATGATTTCAAGTTCTTCCATTTTTTTCCCCCAAGAGTGGAAAATAGACTTCTACATAGGAAAGCTATGTTAATATTTTTAAATTAAAGGTTAAATATCGGAATGCAGTCCAAAGAGTAAATCACATTATATGATTACATTTTAATTAAATATAGAATACTCTACTGAATTGCAGTTTATTAAATATACTTATCCTCTTAAATAAAACTGCTCAACAGTTAATCAGCAGTGAATCATCTTGTAGCTATGCAATTTAAAAAAAAAACACAGATTACCAATTTTCAGTGCTGCCAGCTACAGTAACTCTGTTTTAACGGGTATCTTTTGTTTGGTCTTTTCATGTCATTATATTACTGTGCTTTGCATCTCCAGGCAGTTCTCTCACATTTGGGTAAAAAGTTTAGCGGGCTGTAAACTTAAGGGTAAAATAAAATTTTCTGAAATGGAACTTGGAATAATTTGAGGGAGATTTTATATCTTTAAAAATTGGAATTTAATTGGGATCCCAGATTTATAGCAATTTGCATCTTTAATTTTCCAGATAATCTGGAAGTTAGCATTTGATAAATGATTTTTTAAAGCAGATATGAATATTTTGTTTATAATTTATTCATGTGTTATTACTGTAATTGAAAATGTTATAGACACTTTTAAATTCAGTTTGTGTAGAAATGTGTTAAACAAAAATATGTGAATAAATTTTCCCACGTAATACATCTGAATGGTTAAAAATACTGGAAGAGTTGTCAGGGCTATGATAGTGAATGTCTTTTTTTTTTTTATATCAAAAATATCGATAAGTAGGTTTTGTGTTTTCAACATAGGGAAAATGTTATCAATGAATAGGCAGTGCACTTTACCTGGTATAACTGAAAGTTGCACAGTAAGTACTGTTTCCTTATTTTAATCTTTCTTTACTCCTAATGTATTTAAGAAGTTGCTGTTTTATTTAATGCTGCTACTCTTAATCTTCTCTAAATTTGTTCCCCTACTTTCTTGCTTCTGTTTCACGTTTTTTAAAAGGGCAAGTACAGGAGCAACTGCTGCTACCCAGAAAAATTTGTGTATTATAATTAAAAGTTTTAATTGCCTTCTGTATGATTCCAGATCAGATAACATTTTCCCTAAAGTTATGCTGTGAAATGCCTTTTGTTATGCTGCAATTGCTAAAGGAATCCAAAATCTCCATTGTGACAGCTGACAGCACAGTTTAATAGGTGCTTTTTAACTAGTTATGGAAAATATTCTTCCCTTAAGGAAACTATTGTTTTTCTAAATTTTTTGTTACCATGAAGTCTTAATTTGAATTCATTTTATTTTACGATTTCGATTTTGTAAGCTTTCATATCCTCCTACCTAACCCCCTCAAGTAAAACCTCTTAGAATGTGAATAATTGATTCGTTTTCTATTATTGATACACTGTTGTGATCAGAATTATTTTCTTGTCTTCCATTCTGAAAGGAAGATATTTATACAACTATGGGGATTAACTATATTCTCCTGGAAGTTGATTTTCTGATAGGTTGATGCAAAAGTCATTGCAAAACGCTCCATTACTTTTGCACCAATTTAATATTTCACTTGTTTAGTTTTTAAACTATATTGGCTTAAATTCACTTTTTAGCTCCTCTTTGTCATAAGGTTCTGTGCTGCATCTGCTACAATAGAAGGTCCTGTGGTTTTAAAGAAAGTTCATTGTTTGTCAGTGTCAAGTGCTACTTGATTATTATATTTCTCTGAAACAGTATTCACTTAAATCTGTTTATAGCAATCTCTTTTTGACAAAATTTACAAAAGTTGGCATTTTGACTTTAAATTCAGTCTCTATCAGTGACTTACTAAAAAGAGCAGCTTAGAAATAAGGGGGAAAAAGTTTTTAAAGCCCAAATGCTCCAGTTTTTATTCAAAGTCAAAGTTGTTATTCTGGAAGATACAAGTAATATTCTACGTAATGTCACTTAAAATATTTGTAAATCTATTATGCAAACACTCAATAGTATAAGTAAGACATAAAATCACAATAGATACTTAAATATTTAGCTGAAACTACTGACAACTAATTACTATGGGGGACACAATAAAGATTGAAAGCCTGGGTTATCAAGTTGGTTTTTGCTTTCTAGAATCTTCGTAAATACTCATATTCAAGTAAGATCACATGTGCATACATAGAAAGCAGTATGTTCTGAAATTTCACTTTAGTGCCACTCTTTGTCCATAATGGATTTATTGCCAATTTTGAATCCTCATCTTACCTTGATCTGGCTTTTTTTTTTTTTTTCCTTGCCAGAATATTTAGGACAAAGTAAAATTCTGTTTTAGTTTTGGCCTTTTGTCGGAGAAATAGACTAAGCATAGTCTTAATATGTGTTTTTCAGATCTGGTTACAAGATGGATTATAGATTGTGTTTTAAGAGCAATGTTGTGATTGAAATATAAATAATAGTATAACTGGTTTTTTGTGATAGCAGAAACAACATTAAAAAGGTCATGTTATATAATACGCAGGTTTTGGTTTCTTAGTGCAAGTCTTAATTTGTTTTAAATGTCACATAGTTATTTCAGTTTTCACCCACTAGATACTTTACTAGAATGTAGCCCCAAAAGGACTGAGGGCCAGCCTCAGCATATTTGCCCTATGTATTTCAAAGATTACAGTTTGAATGAGTTAATGAAAATGGCAGGTTTCTTTTCACAGCTTATTTGACTTGCAGACATATTATTAAGTTTGGGTATAATGAAGTTTAAGAACAATCACTTAATACCTACAGCAATGCTGATATTGTTTTAAATGAAAAAGACTGTAAATCCAATGTAAATATTACCTAACCTTATGTAACAAGTTAGGAAAGTGGATGAGGGGAATTTTTCCAAAAATAAGCTATATTTCAACAAAGCATGAAACCTTTTCTTAAATTTAAGAATAATTGAATTTACCATCTAATTGACATTTGTACTGTGTATGGATAATAATATCCAAAACATCTTACTCTTTCACAGAGGAAGTTCTCATTTAAATCAGATTACTGAGAACTATATAAAACTACATAGAAGTAAATGGTGCTTATTAAATATGAGTATAGTTTGTTAGTTACTGGAATTCTTCTAGTTTATTTGGATCATTTTCTTACAATTTTGATTCATTCCTGAGGTGAACTCAGTATCTGTTGACAATGAGTGGTTAAATGTGAAGTTCCCTTTTTCAGTGTCCCTTGTTCTTGTACAGGTATTTTCTTAGTTAAAAAAAAAAAAAAAAAATTCTAGCATGCCAACATTTTCTCTTTGGCCTATTCCCTTTTTTCTTAAGTGTGTAACTTCTGATTTTTTTCTTTGCTATGTTGTGAATAACAGTAGTTAAATTCTCTGTTTTATTATCTACTTATCTTTTCTCTCCAGATCTTTGTATTCTAAAACTAAATTGCTTGGTTTTCTTTAGAGGAAATTGCTACTTCGTATACTCCTAGTAGTGATTCATAGTCAGGAATAGCTGGCAAACCTTTCTAGGTAATAACTTATACAAATAATACTTTGAGTATCATATTTTGTGAATCCCCTGCTTAAGCGAGGAAACAGTATTCTTTTTAAATCATAGAATTCCTGTATTAAATGTGAAATACACGGTCTCCAAAGTCAGCTGATGCTCTGTGGAAAATGAAAGGCATTGGAGGAGACCAGATATGTTAATACTTAGTTTTAGTTGAAAATGCAACATTACTGTCCTTAGGGGGTGTTGGTTTAATTTTAGACCAATGGCTAAGTAATAAGAGGGATTTTTGGTTGCTCATTTAGATAGAGACAGAAACAGCATGGTATAAACTAACATCCGAGAAATAAATGAAAAATTTTAAATAATAAAATTTTGTTGTTTATGAACCAGTGTTATCTATGAACTAACATTGTGCTTCTTAGCTCTGACCTGAACAGTGAGGTACCTGTCTTGGCACTGGAAATGACAAAGTTCTGTTACTGAATTCTCAAGCCTTCCTTTTCTGACTTAGCAGGTTGAAATTGGTAGGTACTAATGATTTATGTTTGATAAATTTACAGTTCAGCTTATATCCTGTTATCAGTAAACCTGGTACCAGAATCTTAAAAGATTTGATTATTAGTAGCATTTTGAGTTCCTATGTGCATATAATATAGTTAGCAGACCTTTATAGAGGTCAAAAGAGACTTTGGAATTTGATGATATGGGTCTTTATTACACTAGTTTATTACATTTTCTTTCTTGATAGTAACTGTTTTTGTGAGTTTCATTGAAAGTCATGGCTCTATTGCTTTATTCATGGTTTCCACAACTCTTTCTGTAAAATCTTAATTTTTTCTATTAGATAAAGTATTTTTCTTTTAAATAAGATATCAAAAGCATCAATCACAAGACATAGAGAAAATGAATTAGGAACAACTTGTATTAGTGTATTCTAAACTAAAATGGAAAAACTCATTCACATTTTAATAAATAAAACTTCCAAATGATCTTACCAAATTATCCCATTATTTAGAAACAGAAAGAATGTTTTTGAGGAAATTTGTCATATTCTCTCTTCTATCTAGAAGTTGACAATAAATTGCAGTAAAACTAAGAAATAACTGAATGCTGAAAAATACCATGAATTAATTAATGTTACGGCTTCTTTCTTTTTCTATATTCATTCCTACAAAATTGAATTTAAAATTATTAATAAAAATTTTATAATAAGTAATAATGCTTATATTAGTAATGGGCAAAGAAGTCTTTCTTTGTTACCTTAATCATAAGTAAAAGATGTACTTTGACATTTCTAATGTAAAACCTATATGTAAATGTTATAATTGAAATATGATTGGACAGCTATTAAATTTTGGGGAGGGAAGCCTCTGCTTCTATGCCAGCATTCTATACTGAAAAGACAAGATGGCACTTGATGGACCATAGCAGATGGAACTGGAGGAGGAAAAGGCAGGCAGAGGACTGCGCCAGTATGATCTGTCCAAGATTGAAGAACTCTAGGGTCAGCTGCAATATAAGTTGGATAGGGGAAAGCCACAAGGAACAGTTCTGAACTCCAGGTGCATTTGCAGCTGATTGTGAATGATAAGGCCCAAAATGTCTGGAGGCAGCAGGTGCACAGGAATGAACTAAATGCTCAAGTGTGCCTATTGTGAGAGGAGCTACAGCTGCTGCAGGAACAGAACTCCTGTGTTAGGGAAGGAGTCCAGGCCATGGCTAAGAAGAAAGTGTTGGTTCAGGTGCATCCCAAGGACAAGTTTGTCGTAGGTGTAGACAAAAATGTCAGCATCAGTGATGTGACACCCAGTTCCTGGTTGGTTCTAAGAAATGATAGCTACACTTTATACAAGATCCTACCCAACAAGGTGGACCCATTGGTGTCAATGATGATGGTGAAGAAAGTGCCAGATTCGACTTATGAAAAGATTGGCAGACTGACTGGACAGGCAGATCAAGGAGATCAAAGAAGTGATCGAGCTGCCTGATAAGCATTCCCAGCTCTTCAAAGCGCACTGGGCATTGCCCAGCCCAAGGGAGTGCTGCTTGGAAGATGCTGTTGGCCTGGGCTCTGGCTCATCATAGGGACTATACCTTTATTCATGTCTCTGGCTCTGAATTGGGACAGAAATTCATTGGGGAATTTCTGTGATGACAGAGAAAATGCTCATCTGTCATCTTCATGGATGAAATCAACTCCATCGGCTCCTCTCAGCTAGAGGGGATTGCTTCACTAGAGGGAACAGTGAAGTGCAGCACACGATGCTTTGAGGATGGCTTTGAGGCCACCAAGAATATCAGGGTTTATCATGGCTGCTAAAACAATTGATATCCTGGACTTGGCAATGATTTTTCCAGGAGACATTGACAGAGAAATTGAATTGCCCCTCTGCAATGAGGAGGCCCTGCTGGACACTTTGAAGATTCATTCTCAGAAATGAACCCGACCAAGGGAACCAACCTGAGAAAAATTGCTGAGCTTATGTCAGGAGCATCAGGCTGAAATGAAGGGCATGTACATAGAAACCAGCCTGTATGCCCTGAGGTAATAGTGAGTCCATGTCACTCAGAAGGACTTTGAGATAGTGGTAGCCAAAGTCATGCCAAAAGACAGTGAGGACAAACACATCCATCAAGAAACTGTGGAATTGAGTGGACATCCTTTGTGTGTATCCCTACAATAAAGCTCTATGGAACAAGCAAAACAAAACAAAAAAATGTTTTGGGGAGGGGTGATCTGCTAGTGCATAATCAATAACTTTTAAAATTTAGCTTGTATTTAGTAACATTTCATTATGTTTTGAAAAGAAGAGTAAAAAATAACCACAATTTTCATGATATAAAAGGTATTGAGTTTCCTAGCATAAGAACGTGAGTTCTGGAAAAAGTCTTAGGGACATTGAACAAGATAAAGCCCCCCCCCCCTTGTTTGTAAAAAGAGATATTAATGCCTATATCAGGGTTGGTGTGAGGATTAAATTAAAAAGTACATGTATGTAAGCACCAGACACATAGTAAGCACTTAATAATGTTAGTGGCTAGTATAAACAATAAACATATTCTCTCCAGTCATGAGGTGTAGTCATAGTATCTAAGACCTTAACTGAAGTGTTTAAAGAAACCTAGGTATGATAGAGAACATTATGGGTGCTGATTTCCACTCTCACTAAAATATAGTGACTTTGCTATATCAGCAACTATAAAGCACTACTTGATTCTGTAGATTGTTACAGACAAAGAATGTAGAAATGAGACAGTTGATCTCTAGGAACTGAGTTTTTAGTGGGTAAAGCAAGCAAGCATGTAATAGAGAACAGTAAAAGCTGTGATAGACACATGTACAAGGTATTGTAGAGGTATAAAAGAAAGTTATTCAACTGCGACTAGGCAAGAGAGTGATTAAACTTAAGTATTTAAGAAAAAAATAGATCTTAGCTCTAGGGGATGTGGAACATGCAAAGCAGAAAGTTTGGGAAGAGTATTCCCAAGGCAGAAAGCTTAGCACATACACAGATAGGAGAAAAGCGTGACACTCTTTTAAGAGTTACTATGTTGGCCGGGCACGGTGGCTCAAGCCTTTAATCCCAGCACTTTGGGAAGCCGAGGCGGGTGGATCACGAGGTCAAGAGATCGAGACCATCCTGGTCAACATGGTGAAACCCTGTCTGTACTAAAAATACAGAAAATTAACTGGGCATGGTGGCGCGTGCCTGTAATCCCAGCTGCTCAGGAGGCTGATGCAGGAGAATTGCCTGGACCTAGGAGGCGGAGGTTGCAGTGAGCCGAGATCGCGCCATTGCACTCCAGCCTGGGTAACGAGCGAAACTCCGTCTCAAAAAAAAAAGAGTTACTATGTTGGCCAGGCACAGTGGCTCATACCTGTAATCCCAGCACTTTGGGAGGCCGAGGTGGGGTGGATCACCACCTGAGGCCAGGAGTTTGAGACCAGCCTGGCCAGCGTGGTAAAACCCCATCTCTACTAAAAATGCAAAAATGAACCGGGTGCAGTAGCATGCACCTGTAGTCCCAGCTACTTGGAAGGCTGAGGCACGAGCCCAGGAGGCAGAGGTGGCAGTGAGCTGAGATCATGCCACTGCACTCCGGCCTGGGCGATAGAGTGAGACTCTGTCTCAAAAAAAAAGTTGTTATGTCTAGAGAGGTAAACAGGTGATAAGTCATGAAGAGATTTATTTGTTAAACTACATCTGAAGGATTAGAAATAGGAGAAAGATAATCACATTTATACTTAAGATTAGAGAGGTATGAGATTAGAGGCAGAGAGACCTGTTAGAAAATTTATACCAATTCAGGCAAGATAATGAGGGGCAGAACTAAAGCAATGAAAATAGGGAAAGCAAGGACAGACAAACAAAAGCTAAAAGATTTAGGGAGCAGATTTGACCCATCTGGGTAGTCATTTGGATACAAGGGATGAAAGACAAGACCAGGACAAGTTCTAGTCCATTCTATTGCCAGTGCTGCACAGTCTGGAGGCAGCACAGTGCATCACATGGTGAAAGGAGTTCACGAAAGGGAACCAAACTAGCTTTCATAACAGACCCACTTGTGGTAACTAACCCCGTCCCTTGATATAACCCATCAATCCATGCATAGATTAATCCATTTTTGGGGACATAGATAGCCCTCATGACCCAATCACCACTTAAAGGCCCCACCTCTTAATACTGATATATTGGGGATTAAGTTTTAACATGTGTTTCAGTGGGGACAGACGTTCAATCATAGCAGTGTCTGTTAGGGTGCAGGAGGTGTCTCGACCCAAATGTTGCCAACGCTTTTTAGGGAGTCAGTAAGTGTGTGATAAGTGGGATAGCTGAGCTAGTTTAATCGTGTAGTTTGCTTGGGTTGGACTTTTCCTCGTCTCTCTTCCCTGCTTAGCTCTAGCTGCCTGTTGGAATGCAGCCATGCTTTCCTGGGTTTGCTTAGTGAAATGCTGAGATGCACTCTGAAGCATTCTTGAGGTTTTCTCTTTCGTTCATTTGTCCCATACTCTTTCCATTATATCAGTCTTCTCAGATCTTCATTACACAAGTAAATCTACTGTTGGGAGCAGGGTCTTGTAGAAGTAGACATATGGGAAAGATAGAGCCTGCTGTCCTGATGGATGCTGCTGCCAAGATAGGTTGGGTTGGCCTAGGTAAGAGGAGGACCAGAAGAGATTTATGACTTCTTGGAAAGCTATGTGTTGCTGCTGGCCCCATCATAATCTGTTTTGTTTAACAAAAGTCAGAAAACAAATACTGGTACACTTAACATTTCTTTCTTGGAAGAGCTGCAGAAACCTTGGGATATCCTAGTGGGTTAAGGAGATAACTCTGCTCATGGATTCCCTAATTTTATGCCACATATTCATGGAAACACCAATTCAAGTTTTCATAAGCTTCTCTTAGAGTTAACTTAGGACTTCCTAGACCAAGAATTCCTACAATACAAGGCCTGTGAAAATAATATAAACTTAATACCTGACAGGGATATATTCAAAGATGTCAGAGCCCTGTATTTATAAATATTACCACGTGGTTTAAGATTTGACTTCCCACATAAAATGAGTAAAAATAGCAATGATTTTTCTGCAGTATTTTAATGATGCTATAATTATAAAGCAGGGTTTTAAAATTCTGCCATGTAGTGCCTTATTTTTATAGTAATGTTTTCTATGAACTTTTTGCATTTAATGTGTATTATTCTGAGATTTTAAAAGTATGTAACTTAAAAATATCTTTCCAACAAAGTCAGCTTGAGATTTAATACTTTTGGATTGGTTTGATCATTTGGTGGCAAGATAACTGGTTGGGCAACTGAACATAGATTATACAATGTTGGCAAATACAAATTTATATTTTAGAAAAATATCTAATAACTGTATACCATAAAAGCCTACGGTAGCACATTAACCCTTAGAATATCATTAAATCTGTAAATGCTAAGGTTATTCAAATAGATGATGTCCATCAAATGGTATATACAGTTCATCTGTTGTTGGAATTCAGATGTTGCAAAGGCCAAAGGTATTTACATATGCAAATTATTGTTTTAGCATGTATTTAAAAACTCTAAAGTGATAACATTGCATTCTTTTTTTAGTCTTTGAACTCTGGTGTGTGTTTTACACTTACAGCACATCTCTATTCAGGACTATAGCTACATTTTAAGTGCTCAAGAGTCATATGTGACCAGGGGCTATTGTGCTGGACAGCAAAGGTCCAGATGACTCTGGGAGACTTTTCTATTCCTATCCTAACCCAAGTATTTCTGAAGACCTTCTAATTCCAACTTTGTGAAGACTCTTGGGTCTCTCTCAAAATTTATTTAACTGCTGCACATGAGCAGAAATTGTCCTAAATTATTAAGTTGAGGCAGTTTTCTCATTTTTTAATGAAAGAGCTGGAAATACCTTTAAAAGGTTTTGAGGGTCTAATGAATCTTCATGTACATTCATAGGTAGCATTGGCTTTCATTGTGATTATGGTGTTTGGTGAGGACATACGGGCTTTCAGTACCTGGTCAGTTTTATAGTTAGGAAGTGTTTGTGAGGCTTTGGCCAAATAGTCATCAGGAATTGTGAGTGATGCTGATGAATAGCTCTAGTCATATTTGTCCCTTGTGTTGAGTTCTATGGGGACATTTTCATGGGTTTCAGACCTTCCAGCTATAGTTGACTTCCTGCCCACGTCAATGCTTAAACTGTTAAACTTGTCCACCAAACCCTAAATTCATAAAGCTGACTCTTCAAAATCCAGCATAAGAGGCACCTAGTAGTCATTTCTAAACTGTCTTCAATAAGATGTTCATAGTTTAGTGCCTAGAGATTCTGTGCTCATATGCTGTGTTGAATGGAATCAGCCAGTAGAGATTGGCAGGGAAGTTGTCTATAAGGTTGGCATACACAGTGGGAAGACAGACATTACATACATCTTCTTTGGGATTCCCAGAAACCAGTGGTTCTCAATTCTTGGCTAAACATTGGATCAACTCAGGAGGGAGGAAGTATGTATAGAGGCATCTCTTTAAGTATATTAAGGTATTGGTCTCACTACAGAGATTCCAAGTTAATCTCGTGTGATTCTGTTGTATAGCCAGTGTACAGCCTATCAAAGGTTTTCTCATACACCTCAAAAATGGGTCAACCTAGGAAGAGGAAAGGGTGCCATCAATGCCTCAGAACTCTGCAACTGAACTCTAGCTATCTGCAACTGAACTCTAGCTATATTCCTTTCAATTTTCTTTCCTCCTTGATCAAACTCTTGACCCTTTTTGGTTGAGAAAACTGCTCTGGCATCATTATTCATTCTCCCCAAATCTGGTTCATAGGACAAATTGTCTAATTCAGCCAGGCTCTGATCCTTGATTTTCACAATAGAATTGGTAGATTCCTAAGAGCTCTTTCTACCTCCAGAATGGCTCTGACACATCAAAACCCTTTAGCTTGCAGACACTTCTCTTCGTTTCGATTTAAAAAACTTGACTTAGACATTCAAAATAGTATCTTTTATTTGTCCTCATTTTCTCTCCCTCCTGAAGCAGACCATCAATGAGTCACTGAATAAAATGCTGTAAGTAACTAGGAACACAAACTAGGAATGAAAAATGTAGTAGTTAATAATTCCAAAATAGTGTTCTGCTACACTCACATTAATCACTAGAAAGCTATACAAATTTAAGTATGTAACTCTAGTCTGATTTT